TCTCTCTTTCATTTCAAAACTTAACATTTTTTGTTTAAAACAAGTTTTGAAAATTCGCTGCAAAAACTAATTGGAGTGGAAATAAATACATGTATTTTGAGACTAATGTTTGCTATTTAATAGACAAAAATGCCTTTTCAATGGGCAAAAGGCATAGAATTTTATTTAGAATATAAATATAAATATTATATTTCTTTTGTATTTAAATTACACGTTAAATAAATACACAACCAATCGCTTGTATTGAATGCACTAAAATTCAATACAGATTTTGCAAAATTCCTAATAGTATTTCAATTGTGTTTAGATTTTTAACACAAATAATATTTGCGAGAAAAACACATTTATTACAATTATTTGCTTAGATTTGCACACCATTTGACTCTTAATGCCTTATAAAGTGTACATTCAGTACACTATAGAGTAGTTGTAATAATCACTAAACGGTTTCGTAAGAATTGTTATTAACTTAAATGTTTAGTTTAAGCAAAACTTTTAAATAATAAACTTAATTATTACTTACTTTTCATAGACTTTTGCTTTAAAACGTTATGTAGACTTTGAGACAAACAATTTTTTGCAATAGACTCTAGCCTTTGATACAAAAATATATCTATAAATAATTAAATAAATATTTAAAACTATAAATTAAATTTATAAATTACTATTTTTAGATATAATGTGGTTTTATTTATTCTGGTTCTTCACGGAATCGGCACTTTAATGCCGTGGAATATGTTTATCAATGCACAAAAGGTACACTTACAAATTGCCCTAGCTCAACTGTACCACAAATTAACCCTGTAAAATCTAATAATTCAATCTAATAAATTTAAACAGTATTTTGAATACAAACTGACGGTACACGTGAACAACACCACATCCCTGAGCGAAGCACTAAACGATGTGCAGACCGACCAGACCTACCGCAACAACTTTCTGTCCTATTTAGGTTTGGCCGCACAGTTGCCTAATGTGCTCTTCAATGTATTAAACATTGTTTTCCAGTTTGGGTAAGTGTACCAGGGTACTATTTACACTCCCCCACCCACATGCACAAAACTAAACAAACAATCATGGACATTTTTCTCTTGGCACAGGGGAACAAATCTGACGCTCAGTATAACGGCTGCGATTGTGGTGGAAGTGATACTATTCATAGTGACCATCCTATTAGCGATGGTGGACTCGAGCGCGTGGGTGCCCGAGTTCTTGGTGGCCACTCTGGCCACTGTTGTGGTCCTAAACACAGCCAACGGTGTCTACCAGAACTCGGTGTACGGTTTGGCGGCCAAATTGCCGCCCAAGTACTCGAACGCAGTGGTAATGGGTTCCAACATCAGCGGCACATTCACGTCCATCATCAACATCGCCGCCATCGCGCTGTCACCTAATCTACGGGTGGCCGCCATCTACTACTTCTTGGCCGCACTGCTCATACTGTTGGCCTGTT